GTTTATAGATGGCGCCACTTTCGAGATATTCACTGATTATTAATTCTCTTAAATAGACATCCCAACTTTTTATTATTGTTTATTATTATTACAATACATCATCTTTTTCAACTAGAGATGTGTGAATCAAGAATTTCTATGTCGAATCGAATCGAATCGAATTTCACTTTTTAAATTCGAATTCGAATTGAATCGAATCTATGAAATTTCACTCGAATTCGAATCGAATCGAATCGAATGAAATCGAATTTAATCATCAAAAAATTTAACATGACTATTAAACATGCAAATAATAATGAAAGATTTTAATATGAAAGGAAATATTGATATTGTAATATCATCTTAAAGTAAAATATATATTTAAATATTTAAAGTAATTTATAATTAAGTTATTAATTATAAGTTAAGTTAATTACAAGTTAGGGGTTCAAACGTACAGGCCCAGATGGCCCATTTTGTAGCTGATGTACACAAACGATAATGTATTTGATTCCTATTCATATTATTCAGATTCGAATCATAGGGATTCGGATTCGAATCAAATCGAATTATATTAGATTCAATTCGATTCGATTCGAATTCGAATAGTTCGCATATCTTTATTTTCAACCAATTAATTTGAACAACTTTTGTCTAAAACATTTTTTAGTTACCTAATATTTTTTGAGATACTTAAGGATAACTTGGTAACTTTTTTAATATTTAACTTACGATGACTCGCTAACTATTTGTTGGAAGAGAAAATAGTACTAGACTTTTTTACTTTATTTGGTCTCAAGAACATATTGGTACAATAATGCCCTATCTTTTGTTAACTTATCGATCTTTGGAAATTTAATTGATCTGATTTTTGTTAATTTGATAATTTTGAAGTTTCCTATCTTCATATCTTTGGTCACTCGGCAAAAATTATTGAAAGTTGATTGGGATGTGTTGCCACATCCACCATACAATCCTGACCTTGCACCATCAGATTAATATTCATTTCATTCTTTGCGAAATTTGTTAAATGGTAAAAGTTTCAATAATAATGATAATGTCAAATCACACTTGGTTCAGTTTTTTGCCGATAAAAACCAGGAGTTTTATGAACGTGGAATTAAGACGCTGCTTGAAAGATGGCAAGAGATTATTGATAAAAATGGACAATACATTACTGCATAAACTTATTTCGTTCCATGAAAAAATTGTCTTTTATTTTCTTAAAGAATCCGCAATTACTTAGTTAGCAGACCAATATAACGCCACGCGACTATTGTTACAAATTAGCAAACATTCCCTCCTCTCGGTGCAATAAAGGCGTGACGTTTCATCACGCTGGCCGTTAGATTCACGCTTTCCGCAAAATCACCCCGAGTGCACGAAGTTCCAGTTGTCAAACCGACGCGCGAGTGCACATCGTGTGCCTGTTTCGGACTTGCCCAATAGCGTGCCGTCATTCTAATGAATATTTACTTCGCGCATGATCACCCGCCGGATCGTTCTCGTCCAGGTGGAAAAACGTCTACTAATCCGTAATTACCACGTTCTCTCTCAACCGCGATAGTTGATAGAGGCCGCTGATAGGTAGAAAAACACCGCGCACACGTAACGATCAAGCGCGCGTGTGCGACGAAATCGTTCACGGACGGATTTATATGCCTTTAACAGGATGGAGAACAATTAAAAGATTGACGCAACCGTGGCGTTCTCGTGACTAATAAGTGGGGAAAAAAGAGAGAGAGAGAGAGAGAGAGAGAGAGAGAGAGAGAGAGAGAGAGAAAAGGAGAGGGAGAGCCGCGCGCGGCCAGCCGAACACCTTCGAGCGGGAATTTACGCGGTACATTGACTCCCCTTGCGCGAATAATGTATGGATGTGGAACGGGAGGTAAAGGTTGACACGCCGCCTTAGAGTTCGGCGGACCAGTTTTTACGTAAGCGTTCTCGGTCATTCTTTCTGCCTCTCCCTCTCCCCCCGCCGCTTCTCTCTGGAAACCGGCGAGAATATCTCAAATTCGGCGAGGACGAGGAACTCGGTAAGCCGCGACGACATTCACGAGTGAGACGTCCGAGACGCAGGCGGTTCGTAATTTTAAGCGACGGAGGGCTAGCTTGATCGAGTGCTGATGAGTGCGCGTATTTACATGATCATAGGGAGGGACGAGGTAGGAGCCACGAAACTGACTCCTCGAGTAATCTCACCTGGCTTCGCCTTCGCCTCGAGCGCGATCGACGGATGTCATCCTGCTGCCTTCGGCCTTTAATCCCTTTCTCTCTCTCTCTTTCTCTCTCTCTCTCTCTCCCCCCTCCCTCTCTCTCTCTCTCTCTCTCGCAGGATTCGGCATACGGTATTAACACAATGTGCAGACTGATGAATAATACTGGCGCGACCTGAATTACGTGAAATTAAAGGCCGCTATGCGATTATTTATGCCCGCGACAGGACAGATGCTCATACTTAAGGGGACGTTATTACAGGGGGGCATATCGAAAAAAAGTTACGTAACCGCATTGCGCAGGCGATATAAATATGCGACATGCCGCGGGGTTCCCCGCGAGATTTTCAGGACTGCCCAACGTACACCTCGTAACTGGCAGGATAGCCCCACAGGCGCGCGCGATGTAGGTGGGTTTCTCAAAGTTTGCAACTGCACGAATTATTGACCCATTACTTACAGCGATTATTCGAGAAAGAGCAGAGACGAAGATGCGTCGAAACAGTAATTTATCACCCAAAAGAAAGTATTCTATTTGTAAGGTGATTTTTCCCATAGTCTCATATTCTAAGCGAAGCCTCTTACAACAAGAGGATTTCTCTTTCGATAAAGCGACTAAAGTAAACCATTCATCTAAAATTTATCAGATATTATTCTATATTCCTCTTATTGCAAGAGGATTTCCTCCTGTATTAATTAATTTTCCTCTTATATTAAGATAATTATCTTGTCGGCGTTTTTCCTCTTCTGTCTACTCACACAGAGACTTTCTGTGCATATGAGGATCGTCGCCGTTGTCTTTTGTTTTATGGACAACGTCGAGAAACGTAGAACAAAGGAGAAAAGAAGAAAAATTGTTATTCAGTGTACGTTGTTTCGACATGAACGAAGTGCAAGAATTTTTAGAGAAAATCGACTTAAAAACACACTGGCCTATATTTCAACATAAATATATACATACGTACTATTCATTTATATCCATTTATCGTATCGCGTTGCACACTACATTAAATGCCATTTACGTAGAATACTTAAAATTACAAATTTATGTTTTTTCCTACTTTTTCAGCAGAAAGTAAAAAAAAATTTAACTTGAATTTTTTCTGGACAATTTCATAATAATTTTCTCTCCTTTCCCTGTAAAAGAAAGTGTAACTGGTAAGAATAAAGTACAGTAAGAATAAATAATAATCCTATAAAAAGAAGATTCAATAATTTATATATAAGAGGAAATTTATATTAAAATCAAGAAGATTTGCATCGTGCATATAACATACAATTCCTTTAACTTTAAGATTAATGTGTCTATAATATTTTCCTCTTAATTTTAGAAAAATCCTCTTGAGGCCATATATAAGAGTAAAATCTTTTAAAATTTAGGTGATTTCGCTTGTTCTGAAATTACCTTTTTTAGGTGATGTTGTGATGTTGTGATAAATTTACATCCATATGCAGAAACTTGCACAGTTCATAAGACAATATCAGCAATATAACTATGCCATACGTTGAGACTATTATACACATAAATAGCGTAATACCTACCTAGTATATCCATTTGCTCGTATAATAAGATAGTACTATAAAATTATATACAGGGTGTCCGGGATCTTTTGGAACCAAAAAATTGTGAAGATTAATCAGATCAAGCTGAGAAGAAAAGCCAAGTACCATTTTGCAAAAATCGCAATAATTATTAAGTTATTAATGATTGAAAATGACCAGATCTAGAGGATCTTTTAACTGAAAATATGTGTACTTATTTGCAAAATGGTAAAGGACTTCTTTGCTCAGACCTAACCTACAATCATATGACGACTGTGTCTAGCGATAGATATGAATATATTGAACTTTGAACCTTGAATCTTGAACTTGTCGCTGGGCACAGTAGCCGTATATATAATCGTAGATCAGGTCATTTTGAAGAAAAAGTCCTTTATATATAATAATATTTACATATATAATAATATATATAATAATTTATATATATATATATATACATACATATATAAATTATTATACATGTAAGAGCTATTATGTTAATCTTTTCGGTATACAAACGTCAATTATGGCCGACAGTCACTCACTTTCCTTTATTCGGTTATTAATAAAGTGATTTATACGTCGAAATAATTTTTCATTTTTGGCCAGTAATAATTTTTATGTGTATCGATATATAATTACTTTATTACAGAGGACGCAGCACATAAAAATGCTTCACATATAAGCGCCTCGCGTTTATCGTCCTCGGCCGCTGGATAACTCGACGCGGCAAGTACTTAACGTATCGAAAGCGTTAAAGCTATTATATACCGGTTTATATACAAGCGACGTCTTTTTTCGTCAGGCTTTCGAGAGGATACTTCTGACGAGAATTAACCTCCGTGGGTCGGTGTGTCGAGTTTATCTCGAAATCTTCATCGACAAGACAGACCGACGACAACGTCTCAAGGAGAGAATCACCTGGATCATCCGTTATTTTTGCATAGGAATAAACGAAAGTTTAATTTTTCGCGACACATGCATATATGTCACGAATAATAATTTAATTGTTATCTTTCTTTTCAGCGGATTCTGTAAAAACACTAATCTTTTGTAAATTACCAAACGTATTATTGCATAAACTAGTTGCACTATTTGAATACCGAAATTTTAGAGCAAACACAAACTGTACGCTCGCGAGGTGACCAAAGTTTGCAGATCGTTTGGCAAGAAGGAGGATAATTCGGGCCGCGGGTCAATACGTTTCACCCGAAGTACATCCACCACTTTGTACCACGCCATAAAACGAGAATACTTTCTCCGTAGGTTCGTCACACTGGAAAGCAGAGCCATGTCTCGGGTGTCACGGGGTCATCGCTTGGCAATGGGCAGCAGCAGTCACGCACCGTGAACCTGGACCGCACTCCGATTTCGTGTCACGTGAGTGTCAAAGGATATATTTGATGATCACTCGCGTACAAATGCGACGCGATATTTCGCAAGAGGGAAAGAGAGGAAGAGAGAAAGAGAGGGAGAGAGAATAAAAATGAGCAAAGGCAACGTCTCGACCTGAACGTGGACGCAGTAGACGTGATGCGACATGTACAGGGTGTCCAGGATCTTTCGAAAAAATTGTGAAGATTAATCAGATCAAACTGAGAAGAAAAGTCATGTACCACATCTAGAAGCTTTTCCGATTGATAACTTGAAAATTTACGTACTTATTTGCAAAATGGTAAAGGACTTTTTTGTTCAGAATGACCTAACCTACAATTATATGACGGTTACAGCGACGGTGTCTAGCGATGGATATGAGTATATTGAACTTTGAATCCTGAATCTTGAACCTGTCGCTAGGCACAATAGCCGTGACATAATCGTAGATTAGGTCATTCCGAAGAAAAAAGTCCTTTACCATTTTGCAAATAAATATGCGAATTTTCAAGTGGTTATTTTCAATCATTAATAACTTGATAACTATTGCGATTTTTCCAAAAGGGTGCTTGGCTTTTCTCCTCCTTTGATCTGATTAATCTTCACAATTTTTCGTTTCCAAAAGATCCCGGACACCCTGCACGTGTCAGCAAATTTTTATAATGAATAATGACAAATAACGGTAATATCTCAACAAAAATCGTTTAGATCAATTATTTCTGCGTAGAAAAAGAACCAAAGCCAACTTTTTACGATGTATTGTCACGTATAAAGCTCTTATCACAATATATGTAATGTAATTTCTATAAAATCTATCATAAAAATTGAGAATAAAATTACTAACAGTATATATATGCAAAGTATTTGAAGATATGTAAAAATCTCTCGCGTATACGTCGCAGATTAGGTCAAACTGAAGAGAAAATTCCTTTACTATTTTCCTGAACAAAATCACGCATTTGGAATTATTAATTGAAGAAGATTGGCGAACGATCGCGTGCAACAATGTACCAATACCTCTTAATCAATAACTAAAGATCCACACCATTATTTGCACATTTTTGTACAATTTCATGTACCTTACAGGCACACGACGGCAATTGCAATCACAACTCATCTGTCGTATCGCGCACGATCATCCGTTAATCTCCTTTGATCGATAACTCACAATTTTGCACGGTTGTTCCCGATATGGTAAAGATACTTTTCATTCAGTTTGACCTAATATGTACGTGCATGGAAGATTTATACAATCGTCAGCCACTCTGTGTATATATACAGAGTGTTTCAGGAGAAATTGTAAATATTTTAGGAGGTAATAATATGGACTATCTTGAGTAAAAAAATAAACATAAACATGTGTCCAATTCTCAATTGAAAGTCTGTCCTCACATTATACCATTTAAACAAATGCAATCAATAAATCATTTGTCTTTTTTTTAACTAGTTTACTGGTAATGACTCATATGTGAACAAAAAGGAAATGCCACAACTGGTAATGACTCACATATGAGTACTATAAATAGCTCTGCCAGTTTTCAACAAATTTGCATGAAACTTGATATACTCATGTTTTCTGGGTTGCTGACTATGAATTTGGAAACCAAATTGAGAAATTCATAATGGCGGATCCAATATGGTGGCGTTTAAATACTCAATTTTGTTAGTTTTTAAAGAATATTTATCAGGACTGATATCCTCATTTGATTTTGTATGAAACCTTTATAGAAGCTTTTCCAGGTTGCTGGTGACGAGTTGGGGTCGAAATTTCAAAATTCTAAATAGCAGATCTTATATGCCGGTTCCAAGTTACCAATTTTGTCTCCATCCATTATGGAGAAGATCGTATTCGATATGTTCATGTTTTTTGACGATGAATCCAATTGAAATTGCAAAATCTAAAATGGCGGTTCCATATGGCGACTTCTAGCGACTAACGGCATTCCATTATGGATACTCTAACCTCCATTATTAGCGGATGAAATATGTTTAAGGAAGTTATTTCTTCGCCGAATGGCTCTAGTGGGAATCTCAGATTGATGACAGTCGTCAAAAAACACACCGAGTTTAATACATATTCGTAATGGAAAATCAAAGTTTGCCACTTGAGGCCGCCATTTTGAATTTTAACACTTCGATCCTGGATTCATCACTGGTGACCAAAAAATCCTTATTGATGAGTATTCTATGTAAAATAAGCAATTATTATTAATTGCTCTCAGTAGTTTTGGCACAAAACGGTGATTTTGGGTCCACCAATGAACTGGTTAATATCTTTTGCAAGGCGTATTATAGGTAACGTTCAAACGGGACCCCCACATCCATTGAAAATCGGCCCCATCCATTGAAAGGCATGTTTATACGAACTTTCTTGCTCGAAATAATCCACATTACCACCAACTAAAGTATTTACGATTCCTCCTGAAACATCCTGTATACATATATATCCGAGATATCGCGTGCGCGGGGATATCGTCCGCGCTATCGCGGAGGCGCGCGCGAGACGTTCTCCATTGCTATCTATTACCATCGCCGGCGCGCTTAATCGCGCTTATTTCTACATTTATCTCGTAACGCGCCACTCGCGATGCCCCGCGACGGCGGAACAAAATTGCCTCGAACGCTCGATGCAACTCGCCGGCCGTGTTACGGCAACTTGAGATACTTGGCACGAACGTGAAAGAGAAAAAGAGAGAGAGAGAGAGAGAGAGAGAGAGAGAGAGAGAGAGAGAGAGAGAGAGAAAGAGAGAGAGAGAGAGAGAGAGAGAGTGTGATTGAGAGGGGGAGGAGGGGAGGGAGAGAGAGGCAGAGAAAGAGAGAAAAAGACGTTCTCTCCCGGGCGGTATTGGCAATTTTCTGGTCGCCGTTTTTACGGCTTCGTCCGCGGGCAATGAGGAATCGTTACCGATCCTGATGGCGCACGGATGAGACAACGTGGCCTGCCTCCGGCACGGCCCGACAACGTCACTCGTTCTTTCGCAACGCGCGGCACCCCGGTTATCGCACCTTATTACCTTCCTCGTCTCCGCGCGGCGCGTTGCTACATTTCCCGCAGGAAGATAGACCGTAATACGCCGAGGAGGCTCGCGACGCCCCGCGGGCCGCATTATAACGGCGCGACTTTCCGGATCGTTGATCGTCGCCGTCGCGATGATTACCGCGCGGACGAGCGTAAATCCGTCCGCGAGCACGCGAGAATCGGCCCCGGAGAAATTGCGAGGGAGGACGAAGTCTCCGCGTGGAAATCGAGCGAGCGAGCGAGCGCGAGGAGCCGGTAAACGAGGACGGAATCGAAATTTTCGCGTCGCGCGTAGACGCGTCGCGCGCGGTCGATTTCGCAAGCCGATGTTAATTTGAGCGATTGTGAGCCGCTGCGTCAAAGAGAACGATAAATTATCCGTCATTGGGTAACATTATATCACCGCCCGAGGCCGTATTTCGCCGATTTGATTGTGATCGATCGATCCGGAGCGCGTGGAAAGTTGGAACCGCGCACGCACGTTTCCCGCGCATGTCCAGTCGCCCGGGGCCCCATTGTCTTTTGTGTGGGAATAAACGAGAGCTCGACTCTTCACGACGCCTGTGTTTCACGAGTGATGAATTTGAATGTCGTTCACTTTTTGTGAGATTTGTCGGAGAAATTGAGAGAGGAATTAGCAGTAACAGGATAGGCGCAACGTCATCACCGGCACCTCGCCTGTTTGGTCATTACCATCTCATCATTACCATCTCATGGTCATTACCATTGCAATCGTTTGTATTTTTCACTAATGCATCAAATAAAATCTATTATTATTATTATTATTGTTATAACAATAATACCTCAAGGAGAGTCGCCATATCCATCATATTTGCGTGGAAATATTAGGAGTGTGATTCAGTTTTGAGAGTTCTTTCTCCTGATAATTGATTTACTTAAACAAGATAATAAACGAACATCTTAATCAAAATATTTTCCTTCGTTTTCTACAACTCTTTCCTACCTTTTTGGCAAGAGATTCCGCGACGATAAAAAGATTCTTTGGAGTTAATTCAATTTTCAACAAATTTTCGCATTTACTCGAGGTTATGAAAGTGCGCATCCTCTAGAACAGGGCTTTCCAACCGGAGGTGCTCGCATCCCCCTGGGGGTACGAAAAAACATTCTTGAGGTTGCCTGGAAAAGTAATCGTAATTAATAATAATTAAGATGAATTCTGGAATAATCCGGCATTTTTACCATCAAATTAAAAGAGTTATTAAAATTATATATTTTTTACGTTATCTGTACATCTTTTATTACGTATATATTTGTTACACATCACAATGTGAAGCTTGATACCATGGATAATAATTTTATAATATTAAAATGATAGTTAATCTCTATTAAACAATACTATGTAACAATAAATTATTATAAGTTAATTTCTTACCTTAAAACCCTAACAATTTTTAATTTTAATAACTAATTTTTAATTTTAATAACTAATATTTACCATAAAACGTATGAATAATTCTTTTTTTGTGGGGGGTGCGAAGGTTCATTAATAAATTTTTAGGGGTGCGAAATATAAAAAAGATTGGGAAACCCTGCTCTAGAGCATGTTGCATCGACTGGAACAAATGATAATCGGACGGAGTAATGTCTGGAAACTATGTGAGGTGCGGCAAGACATCCTATTCTAGCTCTAATAGCTTTGCTGATAATGCAACATGGGGAGTCGAGCATTATCGCGAAGAAGGATCACTTTACTCGCAATTGACGACCGTTTTTGGCTTCCAATGCTTGCTTCAATTTGTTATCGATAATTGTTGTCGATAACAATCAGCGGTGACAGTTTCATTCGGATTTAACAGTTCGTGGTACACAACACCTTCTTGACCCCATCAAATACACAACAATACCTTTAAACCTTTGTCAATATTGCGCCTCGAAGTGGATATTGCTGGTTGGTCTGAATCAAACAGTTATGATTCTTTTCGTTTGGAATTATCGAGATCTATTTTTCATCTTTAGTAACAATTCG